CCATTCCCCCATAACCCACCTAATCTACACATCCCTACACACTACAGGCAATTTAGCAAGGCCAATCCACCTAGCCTGCACATCTTTGGATTGTGGGAGGAAACCCACACAGTTGCCCGCGGGTGGAATCTAACCCGGGTCCGTGGCGCAGTGAGGCAGCAGTGCTAACCACTGAGCCGCCGTGCCGTCCCTTTGGGAGACATATGCTAAGAAGATAAATTTCTGTCCATCTCTGAGGTGATGGCTGTGTGGTAATATCATTAGTCTATTACTTCAGAGAGCCAGATAATGTTCTGGTGACGTAGGTTCAAACCCCGCCACAGCAGATGATGGAATTTGAATTCAATAAAACATCTTGAATTAAGAGGCTAATGATGACCATGAAATCATTGTCGATTGCCAGGAAGAACCATCTGGTTCACTATCGTCCTTTAGGGAAGGAAACTACCATCTTTACCTGGTCTGGCCTACATATGACTGTAGATCCACAGCAATGTGGTTGACTCTTAACTGCCCTCTGGGCAATAAACACTGGCCCAGCCTGTGAAACACTCATTCTATGAATAATTAAAACAAACTCCTGCACTAGCGAAGACTGGTAACACCACCACACAAAGATATGAATGGAAAACACATACACAGGTTTAAACCTCAGACTCAGAGCGAGGTCCGTACCTCGCTAACTAATAAAGCTTTCTTCGGCATGAAAATCAAGCATGTGGCTTTTCATTTATTGAACTTTAACCAGACATTGCAAAGCCTCAAGAACTTGGGCTGGGAGATGCTATTCCATTGATGAGACGTGAAACTTGTATCTCATGAAGATGAATGTTGAATGATTGAGCAGCTTAGGCCTACACTCACTAGAAATAAAAGAAATCTAACTGAGGTACACAAGATGCTAGTAGGGATTGACAAATTAGATGGAGAGCAGACGTTTCCCCTTCTGGGCCAACCCAGAATGAGAAGTCATAATTTTAGGCAAAAGGGATGGCAGATTCAAAACAGAGGAATTAGTTCTAAAGGATCATGAACCTGTGGAATTCATGACCCCAGAGTGTGGTGGACACTGGGACATTGAATAAATGAGGAGCATGGAGACATTTTTAATTACTAACGGGTTAAAGGATCACGGGGAGCAGAAAGGAAAGTGAATTAAGGCCGAGAAGAGATCAGCCACAATCATATTAAATGGCGGAGCAAGTTCAAGAGGCTGAATTGCCCACTCCAGCTCTGTTGTTTTTATGCAACCCCTCGATACTCTCTGAACTAAGGTGTCCTGGTCACTGTTGTTACTTGGCTGCGTTTATCAGCAATTCCACCTCCAGCCAGAGCAGGAAACATGTCAGTCAAAACTCAACATCTAAAAGCAGGAACAAAAACCGAAATTGCTGGAAAAGCACAGCAGGTCTTGTGGAGAGAAATCAGAGTTAACGCTTTGGGTCCAGTGAAGAAGGGTCATTGAACCCAAAACGTTCAATGATTTTTCTCCACAGATACTGCCAGACCTGCTGAGGTTTTCCAGCAATTTGTTGTTTCTAATTTACATCATCCACAGTTTTAATCGAAAAGCAGGACTTCTCCAAAATATCTGAAGTGACAGGACCTATCCTACCTCTGCAGTGAACATCTAGCTGTTGCGCTTAGTGTACAAAGAGGTGATTTGCAATCTCACCTGCAATAACTAGGAGTTCCCTCTGATTGTAGAAGCATTAGCTGATTTACGTTACTGCAAGGTGTACTGGAAAGGCTGGGGGAGGAAAAAAACTGCTTTCTTAAAAAATGACTACCTCAGAATGACAAATCTATTTGCACCCTCATTACTTTAACAAATCTGGGAAGGCCAAGGCATAAATGGCTATAGGCCAAGTGCTGGAACGTGGGATTAGAATAGGCGGGTGGTTGTTTTTGACCAGCATGGTTGCGACGGGCTGAAGGGCCCATTCCTATGCTGTACATCTCTATGACTCGAAGGCCAATGCAGAAACTACAACAATATGCGAGTGCATCTGTTCGTGTACAGTTGAATCACAGTGGTCATGTTTTAGCAGTGATACCCTATTGCTTTTGTCTGGGACAGACCTTATTTCTTCAATTCAGAAACAGATGAATGGGACATTCAGCTCCCTGCTCTTTGAGAGATTTGGCTGTTGCAGACGAGCTGATGCATTTACCACCAGCTTTCAAAGCAGAATGCTTTTCCTATGTTGCAATACCATGGACTTTAAAATCACCCTAGTATCAGGAATCATTTGTCATGTGTACTAATTCCTATCTTAAACCGAAACGGGAGTCATGCACCGATAGCGTTGGCATTTAGCAGATTATTATTAATGTTTGCACCAAATTAAAGATTGCTGCAGCCATCTAGAAAATTGACCCAGGTCTGAACAATTCAGAAGTTAACATGGTTTCTAATTTTTACCATCTCCAGCAGACTCTGAATGCTACCGACTCCGTGAGGTAGCTACTCTTCTTTCATATTCATATTTACCTCGTGGTATCGATGCTAAGGTCAGAATTTGATACCCATCCCTAACTGCCCTTGAACTGAGTAGCTTGCTAAGCCATGCTCTGCAGCAAAACGTAGGCCAGACCAGGCAAGTGTGCTAGGCTCCCCTTCCCTGCCCTCCAGAACATTAGTGAAGCGGATCAGGTTTTACAACTGATGATAGTTAGGTGGAAACCAGTACAAAGACCGACTTTCAATTTCTTTGGCTGGCTTGTTAGGATTTGAACCCATGTCCCCAAACCACAAACCTGTGTCTCTGCACACTTAGGCCAAAGACAGTACAGATATGCCAGCATCTCCTCAACAGTAACTGAGGCTGCAGAAGCAGCCCATGATGACAGTCTAAGAGGCTTTCCCATCTGACAGGAAGGCAGGCGATCAGCTGCTGACTCTCCGCTGGGGTTTGAGGGACGGCGAGCACCAGAACAAGGTACATTTCCCCGCAATGCCACCTTCCCAGTGAAAGTAGTGAAGGCAGCAGGCACGCCTCAGGGTCACAGCCAACGTTCCCTCTAACACTCTTACTGGTTGTGCAGGCCTCTGAGGCTCGGAAACGGCAACAACTTCCTGGATGGATGCAGCCCCAACAACACTCAAGAAGCTTAACACCGTCCAAAACAAAGCAGCCCGCTTGATTGGCACTACATCCACAAGCATTCACTTCCTCCGCCACCAACGCTCAGTAGCTGCTGTGTGTACTATCTACAAGATGCACTGCAGAAATTCACCTACGCTCGGTTCGCAATAAACAACTGCACCTCCCAGTCGCGAACCATTTCAACTCCCCCTCCCATTCCTCAGATGACATGTCCATCCTGGGCCTCCTGCAGTGCCACAACGATGCCACCCGAAGGTTGCAGGAACAGCAACTCATATTCCGCTTGGGAACCCTGCAGCCCAATGGTATCAATGTGGATTTCACGAGCTTCAAAATCTCCCCTCCCCCTACCACATCCCAAAACCAGCCAGCTCGTACCCGCCTCCCTAACCTGTTCTTCCTCCCACCTATCCCCTCCTCCCACCTCAAGCCCCACCCCCCTCTCCTACCTACTAACCTCATCCCGCCCCCTTGACCTGTCCGTCCTCCCTGGACTGACCTATCTCCTCCCTACCTCCCCACCTACACTCACCTTTACTGGTTCCATCCCCGCCTCTTTGACCTGTCTGTTTCCTCTCCACTTATCTGCTCCTTTATCGATCTTCTATCCGCCTCCCCCTCTCTCCCTATTTATTTCAGAACCCCCTTCCCCTCCCCCATTTATGATGAAGGGTCTCAGCCCGAAATGTCAGCCTTACTGCTCGGCCTGCTGTGTTCATCCAGCTCTGCACCTTGTTGTCTCAGACCTTCCAAACCCACGACCACTTCCATCCAGAAGGACAAGGGCAGCAGATATATGGGGACACCATCACCTCCAACTTCCTTTTCAAGTCACTTGCCATCCTGACATTGAAATATATCGCCGTTCCTTCACTGTCGCTGGGTCAAAATCCTGGAATTCCCTCCCTAATAACATTGCAGGTCAACCCACAGCAGGAGGAATGCAGCGGTTCAAGAAGGCAGCTCACCACCACCTTCTCAAGGGCACGAAATGCTGGCCAGCCAGCGACACCCACATCCCACAAATGAATAGAGAAAAGAAACCGGAAACCAATACCATGATCACCATCACCATGTGCACAACATGAGAACAGCTGCACACATGCAGCTTACAAGGTACATTGGTCAGAGTCCAATACAGCACCAATGCAATCCACTGAAAGTCGTCAACCATTGCGACAGCAACTCTGGATTCTGCAGAAGAGCAATTGCTACCAGCAGGTCCAACAGTTTCTTTTTTACTCGTTCACAGGATGAGGGTGTCACTGGCTAGGCCAGCATTTATTGCCCATCCCTAATTGCCCAGAGGGCAGTTAAGAATCCACCACATTGCTCTGAGTCTACAGTCACATGTAGGCCAGACCAGATAAGGACAGCAGTTACCTTCTCCAAAGGACAGTAGTGAACCAGATGGCGTATTCCAATATTTCATGATCATTAGGCTCCCAATTCCAGATTTTCATCAAATTCAAATTCCACCATCTGCTGTAGTGGGATTCAAACCCAGGAAGGGGAGAAGTTGGGGTTAGCTACGAGGTCGGCAGTCGTTTTAGAGGGGGAGGAAAGCACAGTGTGGAAGAGGAGAAAGCAGTACAAGGCAAGGAGTCAGGAGCACTGGCTCCTTCTAATGGGCTTACCAGCCTGGTCTGTGGAATATTCAGTTCTGTGACACTGATCATCAGCTTCGTTCATGTCTTTTCCAAAATGAGCTGCGTCCACTTTGTTTCAGCCAGTTCTATAAAAGATGACCTCACCTGGTGTTTTCCCTTCTCAAAAACGAACTCGCCTACTGGGTATTGCTAACACTTCCTGGCACTCTTAACTTGAAATCTTTCATAGTCAGCACAAAGGTCATGACTCATTCACCATAAAGACTTCATTCTCTTACAATACTTTTAAAAGGCTGCTTTAATACATCTGGAATTATTCAGTATCAAAATCCTGAGGGTCTCTTTAACAGCATTCAAGATTGAAGACAGGAAAATTCGATGGGTTGAGGTAATCTTGGGGTATTCAGCAGCTCGGGAGATTCCCCAGCACGAGGTCTCTTCCTTATATGTTGTGCGTTTGGTGCATAATCCGAGTGCTTGTTTGTCCGTTGTCTGCTTCATTTTACTGAGAATCCTCTCCATCACATACCTTTGGAACTGCAGTAAATATCCTCAGGCCGTGCATGGCTTGGATTTCATCTTTTAATGCCTATATTTAAGTGAAAGTGAGAAAAGGGGAACTTACAGTTATCTTTCACAGCCAACAAAGCACATTTGACATGGAGTCATGTAAGTAAACACGATAGTGAATATGGACATAATGAGGACACACAAACTGCAACATGAAGATGACCAGATAGTCTGTTTTTATGGTGCTGGGAGATAGTTATCATCCAAGATGCCACAGACAGTTGTCTTCAAAATAGCTGGATGCAAGATCCTGAGGCACTAACAGGAGCTGATGGGCCTTCAGCTTAATATCCCAGCATCTCTGACAGTGTAGATCTCATCTACTGTGCTGGGAGGGCCAACCCAGAGGCTACGCTCAAGTCTTGAAACTGGACCAATAACTTTCTGACTCATAAGCAAGCGTGCTATTAACTGAGCCACAGTCGACACTGTAAAGGTAGCAGTGTCAGGGAACAAAACTGGGCTTTATCTAAAGTAGGACATCCTTTTCATCCATTCCCTAATTTAACAGAGGGAACAAAGTGGATGGGATTCTCCAATCCAGGCACAGAACAATACTGTCCAAAGGTCTGCAGCAATGCATGTCCAACCTCAATGTCAGTGACCTTTGCCTCCCCCAATGTGACATGAGTAACGTACAGAACAGTGTCAGATGAGATCACTAAAGGGAAGAGTCCTGCAGCCCTGTACTGCCTGTAATTCAAATCCCCTGAAAGCAGCAGAATGGAGTTAGGTTTTCATTGTAGTTTGTGCAGAACAAAGACTCCAAAATGTACACATCTGCAATGTGCTTGGATGGACAGACAGATAATTTTGTAAAAGTGAGGTAAAAATGGAAAAGGAGGCACGGCAGCCCTAATAAGAAAGGGTGACATAGGAGTAGCAGTGAGAAAGAATCCTGGCTCAGAGAATCAGTCAAATCAGTACATAGGGAGAGTAGAAATAGCAATGGTTAGAACTCAACTGATGGAAGAATAAATAGTAGGTAGGAGACTGGGGTTAACTCCCCATCTCTTCCTCAAAACAATGCCAGATTTCTAACATCCACTTAATAAATTAGACAGGGCATTAATATAATCTCTCATTTGAAAGACTGTGTAGGACAGTGCAGCACAGCACATCCTCAGAAGTACATTGGAGTATCAGCCTGGATTGTGTGCTGTTAAGCATCTGGAGTAGGATTTAAACAGGAGTTCCTGATTCAGCGAAAATTTGTTGCTCATTGGCATCACTAACTAAAAAACAATACCTCAAGTCTTTACCGACATTGACTAGATCAGTAATTGCAACAACTTCATATATCCTTCAGCCATTTCTCAGAATCAGGGAATTGGTACAATGCGAGAGGAGGCCATAAGGACTTAGTGCCATTCTCCTGACTTCTCCCTAGATCCTTGCACATTCTATCTATACACATTGTCCAATGCCCTCCTGAACCCTCAGTTTACTGTGCCTCCATACTTCCACTGTCAGTAAACCCTAGACCCAAAACAGTTGTGTGAAACCAGCATTACCTCATATCTCATTTGCTATGTTTGCAAATCACTTTTAGTCTCAGTCATGACATTTTACAAGCGGAAACAGTTCCTCCCTATCTACTCTATCCAGATCCCTCAGCAATTTTGAAACTAGCAAATCTCCTCTCAGCCTTCTTCCCCTTTAAGGAGAACAGTCCCAACATCTCCAATCTATCCACAACTGAAATTTTTCAAACTTGGAAACATTCTTTCAAATCTTTCACCCATGAGTTCATATCCTTCCCATAACATGGTGTCCAGGACTGTACACACTACTCTAGCTGAGATCTAATAAGTGTTATATAAGTTCAGTATAACCTCCTTGTTCTTGTGCTCTATGCCTCTAAGAATAAAGCCCAGGATACTGTGTGCTTTATTAATGGTTCTCTCCACCAGTCCTGCTACCTTCAGTGACCTGCACATATATACATCTAGGCCCCTCTGCTCCTGCATTCCCTTAAGATTGTTCTGCTAGTTTGTATTGTCTGTCTACCACAATGCTTCACTGAGTCTACAATGGAACACCCTTAGATGAGCTGATCTTTACCCCTCATGCAAAGGTGGGCTGCCTCTGGTAAACACAAGGGTGTGGGATGGGAGTAAGAGGGTTGATGTGGGAAGGAAGAGAAGAGTGGGGGGAAAAAAAAAACCTTTTGCGACTCAGATGCGAGCAATAAAATCGGTTAGCAGCACTACTGTGGTACTCTGCACTGTGCAGAAATGAGGCCAAAGCAAGGGTTGATTAAAACGGTTTTACATGCATTTGGAAATTTTCATGTCTTGCGAGGAGAGTGCAGTTTGCCACTGAATTTAGGTTGAATAGGAAACTAATGTGGTTTTGTGCTAAGCTAGACTGCTCTTGTCTCTGCCCCATTTCGCAGAGTAGGGCAAAGCTGCCAATACCTGATTAATCATCTGGTGTTGTTGGACAACGCGTTTTCCTTTAAACTCCACTGATTCCACATTCACTTCATACATGGCCCCACAACCTCCTATGGGAGAGAAAGCGTCATATTTAGTGGCTCAGAGATCACCACAAGGGCCTTAACAAAGAGAACAAAAAGAGAGTTTTAGGCAAGGCCTCATCACTCAGTATAACTGGAGTTACACAAATAACAGTGTGACTGTGGGCGCCTTCAATCCTACACATACACAAACCTGTGCCTTTCAAAAACAAAAGCCACTGGCAAATTCTGCAACTGTTGTCCATCACTCATTGTGCTCAGCTCTAAAAGACAATCAGAGAGCTGAGATTCTGACTTTGTGACAAGTCAGGAAGGTGCACAAGATCAGGGGTTGGTGTATCTATTACCCTGGTTCGTGCAGATGGTAGAGGTCAGAGGTTCTTAAGAAACTGCTAAAGTAGCCGTGGCAAGTTGCTGCAGTGCAATAAATTGCTGGGCTTGTGTCAAGGATTGAACATTTAACATTGAATTGAATTGAATTAGCTCTTTTGTCATGTGTACTCAGATGAGTACAGTGAAAAGTTTATAAGCCACCACTTAAAGGGCCATATTAAGTACAAAGTACCTAGGTACAATCCTTAGTTACAGACTTGAAGAAAAACAAGTGACATTACAGCTATACACAGCATAACCATGGGTCAGAAAAACAGGAAGCAAAGTTAAAAAGACAAACATCACAGTCTCTCTCCAAACATGCAGATAGTTGAGACAGAACATTGTGCCACCAACAACAGCCATTTACAGCTGTCTTGGGATTGCAACCTGGCTGGATACCATGATTTTAAGGAGAAAAATACACGGGTATGGGGGAAGAGCAAGGGCTACAAATTCTCAAACGGCACCTGAAGACCTTTATCAGTTTTTAAATTCAAGAACTGTCCTGTCAACTCTCAAACTATAATGTTACAGGTGAACCGCTCTGACCTGTAAATAATCTGAGGTCCAACTTCTTCATCAGGAATGGATCAAATGTTGCTGATGATTTTGAAACGGATGGTATTGGGTATGCCAGAATTTAAAAATTGTAGTGTTGTTAACTGAATGGGAACATTAAACTTGTGTACAGGGAAAATGACATTCCTTGGAACATGCCTGCTGTGAGTGGGAGCATCATTTCTCAACTGTATAACAGAAAATGAATACTGTTGAGTACCTTTGAATACTTGGAATGGTGCAGTAAGTTTAACTTGGTGAAAGCATATTTTGAGGAAAGGATAGCCCTCTTTGTACACATCAGAAGAGTAAATAAAGAACTAATTCCATTCTCTCTCGTTACCTCATGACCACAATGACATATTGCTGATACTCGAGGAAATTGTTCCCAAAGGTAAAAACATATCCTTCTGCAGAACTGTGTAATGTTAGTTGCTGGAAAGGGAAGCCACTTCATTCACTTACTCATTTTTTTCCTCAATTGGGTCTTTGCTTTGTAGCAAGAGCAGACTAGAAATTTTACTTGGAATAGCCCATTGTACAAATTTGAAATGCAATATTACAATCTCACTGCAGGCGAATTCTAAACAAATGCTTAAAGTTCAGACATTTTCTGAAATGCCAAATATGGAAATTAAGGATTACTGGAAGACTGCAATGTACCTTTTCAGCAAAATGTTTCATTTCAATGTTACTCAGATACAATGTTAATTCTGTCTGATTACGTGGATGTCTAAGGTCCTGCAGCGACAATGGAGAAAACACATGGAAGCCAGCATTTACCATTAAACCAGCACCCCTCAAGCAAATCTGTTGGACATTTGTCACATTGCGCTATGAGGGACCTTGAATGTGTGTATGTTTAGTACAGTGGCTCAGTAGTTAGCACTGCTGCCTTACAGTGTCAGGGACCTGGGTTTGATTCCACACTTAGGCGACTGTCTGCATGGAGTTTGCACATTCTCCCCGTGTCTGCGTGGATTTCCTCTGGGTGCTCTGGTTTCTCCCACAGTCCAAAGATGTGCAGGTTAGGTGGACTGGCCACGCTAAATTGCCCATAGGGATGTACAGGCTAGGTGGATTAGCTTTGGGAAATGCAGGGTCTGGGTGGGATCAAAAAAATAAATAAACAATGGTCACACAGTGGCTCAGCAGTTAGCACCGCTGCCTCTGTACCAGGGACCCGGGTTCGATTCCATCGTCGGGTGACTGTCTATGCAGAGTTTGCACATTCTTCCTGTGTGTGTGTGGGTTTCCTCCAGTGCTCTGGTTTCCTCCCACTGTCCAAAAATGTGCAAGTTAGGTGGATTGGCCATGGGAAATATAGGGTAGGGGGAATGGGTCTGAGTGGGATGCTCTTCGTAGGGTCGGAGAAAACTAGTTGGGCCAAATGGCCCATTTCCATACTGTACGGATTCTATTCTACAGAATGTATTTGGAGGTGGAGGGTTGCTACTAGACTTTCAAGGACATCTTAGAGTCCAGGTCTGTGAACCTGTGACCACCACCCAGGTGGGGATTCATCCAGGTACCTTTCTAATGCCGAATGCTCATAGTTTGGTTACAAAGTCAGTTAACTCCCTTTGATCGTCAACCAGCTGTTAATTCTTGCTATTGGTAAGGATGTTACAAGTATATACACTTAACATGCAGCTGATGCTGAGGCAGGAATAACACGGAGTAAATTTCAAACTGCACAACAAAGCTGAATCTGGTTACATTTTGCAATAACTGTCTTGTCACAGGCTGTTTTCAATTGTCATTTCAATCCATCCTTTATTTTAACGATCTTTTCAGGTTTTCATTATAGAGGTTGCTCAGTGAATTACAGTAAGAAACAAAGGCAAAATACATTCTAGGGTCAATCGTTTCCCTGCACACCCGACCATAGTCTGTGCTCACATTTATCACTGTTAGACAGTGCCTCAGATGCAATTCCTCCCAAAACTGACACCCTCAACAGTTCTTTCTCCTCATAGCAACCCCGCCCCAAAGCAATGAAACAGCAGCTACACTCTTCCCGCCTGTTCCAGCTCATCTGCTCAAAATATGAATGCAGCTCTGTTAGGCTTCTAACTGAAGAGAAGGCTCTGCACTATATCACTTAAGGCCTCTGTTGTCCACATACAGAGTAGAAGAATGCTGGCAGAACATGAAAGAGACAAGAAAACACACAAATCTGGCCCGAGACCCCTCCCCTGTGCCCTTGTAATTTCTAATCCAGTCAACCCTAGATTGGGAGTAAGTTCCCTGGAAAATTTCTGCAGTTCTCCATGGTGACTGAGGTCAATTCAGGATCGCAGCCCAAATGTGGCCTCCTAACTGCCTTTTGGGTAGGGACTAGTGCAGCAATCGCACAGAGACTGCAGATCAAAACCTCATCGCAGTCTGCTGCCTTATCCACGATTGGTGTTAACAGCAATAGCACCAGCCCTTCAAGAGGTCATATTCAGGGCAAAACTAAAACTGATCACACAGAGACACCCCAAACCCTGTGCTAAGATTCCCACCACCTGCGCCCCCCCACCCCAACACCCCGATTCCCTCCTATTCTTTTGAACTTAGACTGCGTTTTTATCCCCAAATCTCACTTCGGTAAAAAGCATTGCCAGCACATTTTTCCAATTATCTGTTCACTCCCAGAAAGTTAGCACACGCTGTCCAAGTTTGCTGCACTTGCCTGATATATCCACAACTTTAATCGCCGAAGCACGTGGAAATTTGCTTCTTAAGATGTCTGTAATCCGGGCCTCGCCATTGGTCTGTGCTGACAAACTTCTTCTTAGCATGTTGGAGAGCGCCAGTGTCTGACAGCAAAGGAACAGCAGTTAACAAGTTCTGTTCAGAGATTCTAGAGCACTCATTGAGCACGCACCCATCAGTAAAAGGATGATCTAGAAACATTAGGAACAAGTGATTCAGCTTCTTGAGTCTGTCTCGCTATTTAGCTAGTGTGAGAAAGATCAGCATCACCATTAAATTTTCTTATCTTAGCTTTGTCATCCTGAATGCCCACATTGACCAGAATTGACCAATTTCACTTCCAGCTCATGGCAGCTTCCAAAATTCTTCGGGAAAGAATTCCAGAATTGCACAACTTTTCGATTGAAGAAAATAAAAACAAAACGAAAGAACTCCAGATGCCGGAAATCAGATAAAAACTAACATTTTCTTAGCTACCATAAGTTCTGAGGAAAGGTCACTTCACCCAAAACGTTAACTCTAATTTCTGTCCACAGATGCTGCCAGACCTGCTGAGCTTTTCCAGCAATTTTTTTTTTTTTTTAAATAGAAGATAAGGTGGGGGTAAAGGTAAAGAGTAAATGACAGGTAGAGATAGAGCCTAAAGAGAGAGAAGAACAGTTAGACAGATAAAGGAATGGACAATGATCAGCTTGGGAGAATAATGGGGACTATTAGTGGCTAGCAATGGGTTGTAGGTATAAGAGTTCATGTGATAACAAGGCCTGGTTGAGAGGAAGAGATAGTAGGAACTGCAGGTGCTGGAGAATCTGAGATAACAAGGTGTAGAGCTGGCCTGCTGTGTTCATCCAGCTCTACACCTTGTTATCTCTGGTTAAGAGGGAGTTGGGGGTAAGGGCATGGGAGGAGGTGCCTCAAGCCCTGAAATTGTTGAACTTGATGTCGAGTCCAGAAGACTGGAGAGTTCCCACGCAGAAAATGCAGTGCTGTTCTTCCAACTTGTGGTGCGCTTTGCTGGAGCACTACAGCAAGCCTGAGATAGACGTTGGCCAGGGAGCAAGGTGGTGTGCTGAAGTGAGAGGCCTTGCTATCACATGGTCTGCTATTACACACAACCCATTATTAGCTGTTGAAGGAGTCCTTCCTGATGATCATCCCTGAACATTTTAACTCCCAACTCTAAAATCACTTCTCCTTGTTTCGCATTTTCTGACCAAAAGAAAGTTTCTCTTATCCACCCTAACATTTCCTTTAATTATCTTCAGTCTTTGTTAAATCTCTCCCCTCTAACCTTACAAACGTGCACCCTGTCTTGAAATTCCCCATCCTATTGAAGACACCTGTCATTAACTCCAGACTTTAACAAGAGGGAGCAGCATGAAGGATACAGACCCACGTTGCCACCCCACCTCCCCGGTCCCCCTCGCACAGCCCCCACACC